ACAGAGACCATCCGTTCGGCCACCGTCCATACAAAGCGCTGCGCCCATGCCTTTATCCGGGAGGGCAGCCAACACTCTCTGGATGAGCTACGGGGCTTGCTGGATGAGTGCTCCAAGTACCACGGGCAGCTGACCAAGGAGGCAGCCATGGGTAGGTATGAGTAGGCAAGTAGCTGGTGACAGAGTTTTGTAAAAACACATCTCGTCAACAGGATCATTTTCTTTTCCTCTCACCAGGGCAGGGATTTGACCGACACCTGTTCGCCATGCGATACCTGGTCACCTCCAAGGGCCTTCCCCTGCCTAGCCTGTACCAGGACCCAGCTTACGCTGCCATCAACCATAACATCCTCTCCACCAGCACCCTCACCAGCCCTGCTGTCACACTGGGTGGCTTCGCACCTGTGGTGCCCGACGGCTTCGGCGTGGGTTATGGTGTCCACGACGACTGGATCGGCTCCAACGTCTCCAGCTACCCAGCCCGGAACGTCAGAGAATTCCTGCAGTGTGTCCATGAATCCTTGGAAGACATCTTCGGTGTCTTAGATGGCAAGCTTCCCCAAAGCTAGGTTACCAGTATCTCCACTGTTTCTGGGAAGCAAAATTAATGTCAAAGCAAAATGTTCAATTACCGATATTCCATTATTCTGCTGTGTTGACATCTCAGGACAAAGGAGGCTCTGTGAATCCTCTGGAGACTTTAACACCTCCTTACCCAGTGTGAACTGCAGTTATATATTCTTTTTTTTTTTTTTAAAGGGCATTTGTATAATTATCCACTCTACTTGAATAAGTTCCTGTAAACTTCCTGAAGGTGATATGGATGTAAAATATTAATTTAAATAATTAACAAATTAAAACGGTTTGTTTTATTAAGAATGAGTTTCTTTTGGATGAACCAGTAATATTGACATACCATCACATTTCTGCTGTGTATGTAGACATTTACCAAATATACCAAATATTTGTGGTTGAAATGCAGATATACTGAATTTTTTTGGCTCATATATACAAAACCTCCAGTTTAACATGGCTAAAACCTTAATATTTATCCCTAACAATTTTAGAGTACAATTTTAATTCCAGTAAATTTCACGATTTAAAAAAAAAATCAAATACCTCTCCGATTAAGGTATTTAACATTAGTCATTATTGTTAGATGAAGAATTACCAGCATGCATGGAAAATGAAGATTGTCGGGTACACAGCATTCAGGGTATCATCACTCAGACTTTGGGATAAATGCTGAATACCAATAAAAACATGCAAGCCTGTAAATCTTAAACATTTTGGCATTAGAAGTCTTAGTTGTGTTAAAAATCCCACATTTACTTTAAATGTAATGCTTACATAATCTAATACTTCTGAAACTGGCCAGCTGTCCCTTCCCATAAATTCTTTTACAAATAATTCACATTAGAACTGAATTTCAATACACTGAATTCTGGGAATGAAGAATAATCAAAATAAGGGCAAATCAGTACATCTTCAAGAGTTTATTAAAACACAAAAATTTAAAAGCAATGTACAAAAGCAGAACACATTAATACAAAAATATCCACCCCAGACAGCTCAGATTGGCTTGATCTTGAAGTGTAATCCAATGAGGCTGAAGACAAGACATTTGAGATCTTGAACCAGGTAGTAGAAAACACGGAGGCCTTCTGGGTCCCTTAAAAATGGGAAGGGGGGGGGGGGTTGTGTCAAACATTCAGCTTAAATTACATACCATTTAATCACTTCTAACAAGACAAACAGTATAACATCTCACAGGAGGGATGTACTCACTTGGACTGGTTAACATCAATCAAAGATCCAATCTTGGAGGTCGTGAATGAAATATGTTCATCTCCTATGACAATCTCCAGTTCCTGCAAAATATTTTTTTGTATAAAATTTTAAAAATAGGCATCTAAGATATTCATTATAACTGAGCAATACTCAAGTTTAAATACTGCAGTTTGGCAGCAACTTATTCTTAACATGGTCAATGTAGTTTGTGGGTACATCTAGCCCATGCCTAACAAGCCTGCCATCCCTCCCCGACAGTGGGAATACAAACCTGTCTCCCCACTCTGTCAGGGGGCGGCCAGAGGGCATCATCCTCCTTGGTGATCTCGCTGTCGTCGATGATTCGCTTCAGCTCTTCCATTACACTCTTGTGCACGTAGGCCTGTGACATGCGCAGTGTGTAACCTTAATGTACATCATATACTATATAGTAAACCACACTGCGTACTGTAACCTTATACATTTAGTAAGCTTAGTCGTCGTGGGGACACCAAATGTTTGTATACCACCTACCTCTTTTCGGATCATAACATCATTTTTGTAGTTGCTGTTGTTTGCATATCTCAGCTTCCCTACGAACACGAAAAAGAGTACATAGTTTCCCACATGAATGAAAAAAGTTACACATGGAATGTGAATCACCAAACGGTGAAGCTTCCAGTACGATAAATGATTAAATTGATATAAATTTATACAACTAAATTTAATTTTCTATCAATATCCTAAAACAATAATGCTAAAAACATTTAGCTAGACTGTATTAAAACGATCTGGTCCCGTAAACTAGGCCCGGCTGCGTCGCAGATCCTCTTTCCGCGTTGCCGATCCCTGACTAACGAGGGCTTAATAACATCACTCACCGTCTGGACGAAATTCAAACTCCAGGAACTCGTGTCCAAATTTGCCTTTGTGGCCAACGTAATACCGCAAGTAAAAATCACTTGTGGACATTTTCGCCAACCCTGATTTGGTAAGCGTTTGCAGGACGTAGTTCAGACACACTTGAAGAGATCAGCCTGTAGCGCACAGCACTGACGTGACCCATCGTCGCAGGACAATCGCGTCATCTAGAGGGCGCGTTGTATCAATGCGTTCAATTGGGACTGTTATGCTAAATCTCTTCTCTGCTCCAGATTCTTTCCCCTTGTGACGTATCGCTAGATTTGGCTTGACAGAGCCATCCACATTCCTATAAAATTAAACAAACCTCTGTAGTAGAAAAACATTCACTAAGTTCACCAGGGTTGCCAACTCCCCTTTCAGACTCTCATTCTCACGCAAGAAAAATTACAGCAAATCTATATTATTCCATTATAAACCTAAGATTAGCTACTGTATCTTTGCTTGTCACTAGGGCTGTACCCTCAGGGGCCTCTCAATTGTACCTTTTAAGGTACAGAAATTAACTCTGAAGAATCTCTAAGGTACAAACAACATTAATGTACCCCAATAGTACATAAGTGTTCATCATAGTCCATTTCTGTTACCTATGGCTAAGGGTACAATTTGCAGACCCCTGAGGGTACAGCCCCAGTGACAGCAAATGTACAAATCAGTAGCCTTTTTTCTGACAGTGTACCTATATTGTAAATTAATTAGCAAATTAGTTAGCACTTCAAACAAGTTGGAACGGAACAAAGAGAGCTGGTGCGCGAGCATTGGTCTGACATTAATCTTTTCGTTTAACCATCGTATTTGTGAATGGTTGGTAACCAAGGGGAGGGTAGAAACGCCGGTATGCCAATGAGAGTGGTTGCGCCGTGTTCTTGCAGGTTCGCTCCGTCCTCTGTATAGGCCTCCGTCTATCTTCCAGCCGTTTATGATTTGTGGGAACTTTGAAGCTGATCCAAGGCAGCACGTGGTACAAGGCAGGGGTACACCCTGGACGAGATGCCAGTGCATCACAGGGCACACAGGCATACACCCTCACAGCCACATTATAGGCAATTCAGAGGCACCAACGTGCACTAACTGCATGTCTTTGAACTGCTGCAGGAAAGCCCTTGTAAACTCCAATCCCCCACTCCTGGTCTAAAGCAGTATTGTTACCCAGAATCACCACAGTAAGATACTCTATATAAATTATATGGACAAAAGTATTGGAACATACCTCTTAATCATTGAATTCAGGTGTTTCATTCAGACACATTGCTGCAGGTGTATAAAATCAAGCGACTAGATGTGTGGTCAGGTTTGCACACATTAGTGAAAGAATGGGTCATTCTGAAGAGCTCAGTGAATTCAAGTATGGTACTGTCATAGCATGCCACCTTTGCAGTAAGACAGCTTGTGATTTTTTCCCCCCTGCTAGATACTCCAGTCAGCTCTAAGTGGTATTATTGCAAAGTGGAAGCCTTTAGGAACAACAGACACGTAAAGTAACAGAACAGGTTCGCTGAATGCTGAGGTGCATAGTGGGTAAAAGTTGTCAAAGCTCTGTTGTCTCAATAACTGCAGAGGTCCAAACTTCCTCTGGCATTAACCCAAGAACAAAAACTGTGTGCCGGTACCTTCATGGAATGGGCTTCCATGGCCGAGCAGCGGCATGCAAACCATACATCAAGTGCAATGCCAAGTGTCAGATGGAGTGGTGTAAAGCACGCTGGCACTGGACTATGCAGAAGGGGAAACGTGTTCTGTGAAATGTTGAATTGCATTTCTCTGTCTGGCAGTCTGATGGATGAATCTGGGTTTGGCAGATGCCAGGAGAACATTACCTATCTGACTGCATTGTGCCAACTGTAAAGTTTGGTGGAGAAGGGATGATGGTATGGGCTTGTTTTTCAGGGGCTAGGCTGGGCCCCTTAGTTCCAGTGAAGGGAACTCTTATTGCTTCAGCATACCAAGACATGTTGGACAATTCCATGCTTCCAACTCTGTGTAAATAATTTGGGGAAGGTCCTTTTCTGTTCCAGCAGGACTATGCCCCAGTGCACAAAGCAAGGTCCATAAAGACATGGTTGGGTGAGACTGTGTGGATGAACTTGACTGGCCTGCACAGAGCCCTGACCTCAACCCCATCGAACACCTTTGGGATGAACTAGACCGGATTATGTGAGCTTGATCTCACAAATGCTCTTCTGGATGAATGGGCAAGTTCCTGTAGGTGTAATGGCCAGGTGTCCCAATACTTTTGTCCATATAGTGTCTCATACAATATGTGCATATTTATGATTTCAGATAATTGCCAAATGTCCAACTCACAAAAATTGTTTATGATAAATAAGGTTTATTGTATCACAAGTCCACTCCTGATACTGAAATGAAGTATGCCCTTTCTTGAAACAAGCAACATCATGCTTAAAGTAAAATGTAAAAATAATTATAAATTATTGCTCAATAAGTAAGTTCAATACAGATTTTTTGGAGCTGAAAAACAAAATACAAAATACATTTAAATGATGAAAAATGTTCATCACAGACGGTCTTTGAATTTTCACTAAAATATACAGCTTTGGCAAATTTCCCTAAATATGATGGATATCATGTTCAAATACCAAATGGAACAAGCTTATACAAAAATAAGAAAACCAAGCCACTTGCAGATGTGTACATGAGTGCAGGCACACATGATGTAAGGCATCCTAGGCACTCAGTGAAAGGAGTATTTGTTTGTCTCTCTTCTGCAGATCCAGATCATTTTTATCTGCCGCCACTCCTAAAGTGTCACATCTGTCCAAAAGTGAGTTTAAGTGGCAAAATTCCTGGTGACGTCACATTTCCAAATACCATCTAGAGCAACACTACCACTCATGAAAAGGTGTCTTTCTTCATTCCATAGGCCCAATTCCCTTTTCTAGCACCACATGAACTAGCATGTGAAAAAAGGGAGGGATTTGCTTCATACTGTTGCAGTCTTCCGCAAATGAGATAAAAATCTGTGTTTCTCAGGCGCTGCTGAATTTCAAGAGCAACATGAAAGAGTAAAACTAAAGTATTTGGTTAATATTAGAGGTTGAAGCCATATTGGCACCAGTCGGACTGAATAAGCAGCATCATTACTACCAGCAACAATGAAAACAACTGTTCACGATCCAGCAGCATCCTTCCAATTTCTTTCCAACAAACTGGCAATTGTGATATCAGATTTATTGCATTCCAATCATGTATACTCCTGCTTCCTGCCACAGTAAAAATTACCAATTATTGGCCAAAGAAATTGGGTCCACATGAAAGGTCACCAAACCCATCCAGGACATTCTCCTGACTTTTCTCACGTCAGCAAACACCAGTAGGTGAAACACTAAATGTCCTGCCTTGAATTCCGGCTGCTCCAGCGCACGAATCATATAGGCAAGCAAATACAAAAAACAGCAACAAAAGCCAGGCAGGGATTGCACGTCTCCTGATCGATATCATCTTATAACACAAAGCAAACAGAAAGAGGCACGTGCTGGTTCAATGCGGCCGACTGTTGGACTCTGAGATCTTAGGCTTCTTAGATGAGCTGTAGCTGTTGACAAAGACGTTGTGCCTCTTGCTCAGTTCGCCGTTCAAGATGTCCTGGATGTGCTGCACAATTAGGTTTATAGCCACTGCAAGGAGACATGGACGAAAGGGTTAGCAACTCCTGCAGACATGTTCAAGTATGGCTCCACATTTAGACATATCCTAGAAAATATTACCGAGGTATTTCTGCACTGAGGTGACAGTACTGCTTCAGCATACACGCTCTATACGCTGCACGAGCTCCTCCATTTTCACAAACCCCAACTGACATACCCCTCTGACTAAAAAAAGTCAGTCAGAGCTTTTCCCCTCACACACCACAGCCCTGTCAGGAGACCTGAGCTCTGTCACAAAACACCAGCCAAACCCTGCCTGAACCGCAAAGTCAAGAGGGGATTTTCCACATTTCAGAAACAAGAGGCCATAGTAGTACAAGCTACAGATGCTCCTCCACTTATGATGGGATTACATTCTGATGACCCCTTATAACTTGAAAATATCTTATTTGACTTAAGATATGATTAATAAGTAAACAAACCACTGTCACTGAATGAGCAAATAAACAATTACTGTTACTAATTAGCAGTAACTGAAAAGTGACTATATGAATACAAGTTTATCCTATTGTTAAATATACAGTACTGTACAAAAAAAAAAAAAAGTTCACCCAACAGAGACCGGAAGCGTGGCCGGGTGCATGCTGCCATCGCCCAGCATCAGTAGAAAGTATCGTACGGCATATTGTTAGCCCAGGAACAGATCAAAATTCAAAGTTCGATGACTACTGAATGTGCATCGCTACCCACCCTCGCAAAGTCAAAATATCATAAGCCGAACCATCGCAGAACCAGGAGTATCTGTACTTCCCAGGAAGATCTGATATGGGTCTAGGACAGAGCATTCACATTTCTGTTCCTTTGATGGAATGATAACTAGGAAAGATACCTTTAGCAGGAATCATACAAGCAGACACACAATATCAGGATATAAATGCAGGTATTTATACTTCATCAGTAATCTTCAGAAAGTTTCTCCAGTTACGGACAGTTTTGTGAAGGTCAAACTTTTATAACACAGATGTGTTAATTAGAAAAAAGTAACCTCACCAAGGTTATGTGCGCCACGTGGGATGATAATATCTGCGTACTTCTTTGTCTGGGGGGAAAGAAAACCATTTAAACTTTTTAATTTGACACTGATTCAGTTACAGTCCCTGAACCACCATGCCTTAGACTCGCTGCCCAAAGTGTGGGCTCCCTCCCAGTTGGTTTATATTATTCTCAGTTAAAGTCTCGAGAGATGCGATTAATCGCAGCTGCCATCCCTAAGCCTAGATTTGGGTCATTGAAACTAAGAAGGTAGAAGAGATTTCTTAAGATGAAAAAACAGACAGCTAAAGGAGTGAGTATTTTTAGGATCGATATAAGATGAATAAAAGATGGGATCAGGAAATGGAACTGGAGCTGGGATTGGAGAAAAAAAAACTACAGGGAACAGAATTGGAGTTGAATTTGAATTTCAGGGAGATTTAAGTTCCAACTCCAGTTCCATTTCCTGATTTGGACTGGAATTGATCAAGGCATTCCGGAATGACCCCAACCCTGCTCCATACCCACTTAATATAACACTAATAGCCAAATGGTTGTTGATGTTGTTGCTGTTATCTTCTTGGGATAATTTTATCATCTTCAACTTCTTCCTTTTGCATGGGCTAAAGTTTCAGCAGAGCTAATTCAGCTTTTAAAGCCATAAAAAATCTCAGGTTTCCAGGCTAAATATTAACATGCAGCTGGGCAGAGGTGAATACAAAGTAGTACTATCAACCCAAAGATCTCTTGCGTCACAGGGTACACCGTCTTTTAATCTAGGTGACCCCCTACATGGATTAGAGTTTGGCACTCCTACTCCGTGGAAAGAATCAACCCTGCTTACCGGGAGGCAAAACTCTTCGAAGGCGGGCTTGACAAAGGTGATATACTGTGTCAACACCTGCTCCAGGTCTCGACCTCTCTCACTGATGTCCCGCAATACTGAGGGGCGCAGGAGGACACAACCATTAAACTCCCTGTGGCCACAGACTCGCCTCTGGGTATCCACATTAACAGAGGCTTAAAGCAAAAGATGATGCCAGATTCCATGGAACGGAAGCTGGAATCACAGATTCCCATCCAGAACCCTGCCGACGAACCTCTACGGGAGAGGCGAGTGTCTGCGTCCGTGTCCACAAAGAGCTTCATCTGAAATAAGTCCCGAATGTCCTTGGAGTAGAATGTCAAGATCCCCTCGAACAGCACCACATCCGCCGGGTAAATCGTCACACACTCGTCCTTCCTGAAGACAGTCACCCAGGCACTTTTCAGCATCATCTAAAGAACTTAAGATCACATACTGTTCCAAACTCACATACTGATCTATATTGCTGTAATTAAAATCCATATCATTAAAATTAATTCAAAATTCACTTTTGACAACTTACGTATAACTGGACATTCACAAAATCAAAAAAACGACTGAGGAATTTTAAGTACTACACCAATTTAACCTATACACCAGTTTACGATAAATTTACAGGGGTTCTCATTGTACCACCATAATCGCTCTGTGCTATCCAGTCAACATCAATACTAAACAGCTGTAGAAAGCAAAAGTACTACATCTAGATGGATAAATGTTATAAATCCTTGTGGGGAAATTAAAGGAAGTTTGTTTAACCATGTGATTCACACACAACAGTCCTGCACATAGAGACAAACACAAGGCACAAAATAAAAGTCCTGACCCTGGACAAATAGCAAGGACACAAGCATGACTAGAGGACACCCAATTGATCGTTCTGACCTGGAATGGGTGACAAAGTCATACACCGGGATCTGCACTTCATTCCCTTGCAGGATTTCCTGTAGGGTCTCCTTGATGAGCTCATTGTCAAATGCGTCTAAAAAAGGAGAACACAAGACCTGTTCAATGAATGCTTTTCTCCAACGACCTACACACAATGCATGATCCATTGATGGCCACCCAACATTGGTCATGCCAGTCTTGAATATATGTGTTCCCCTAATTAACCTGCATTCAATTATATTGCTTATTTAAATGTGAGAGGTACATAACAGGCCAGTGAAATCACACCTCCAGGTTTGTGTGGCTGACGTCTGCCCTTGAGCTTTATGCATTTTGAGATGTTTTGTATGTTCTTCTATTTGTGCGAGACAGCATCCCACAGAATAATGACATGTGGTTGAGGTCTTTTTTGGATCGCAAAGCAACTGCTCATAGCATTGTGTGTATCATGAGATGAAGCAACGTCTCTTCTGGGTGTCCCCAGCCTTGCATCATACACTACCTTGGGACCCAACAAAGGATGGATGGTGATAAACCCAGGACTTCTGGCTTACCTGGATGGTCAAAGTTGAACTGGCCCTTCGATGCCTTGGCCTTCTGCTCTGGGGTCAGCACCCTGTAGAAGCTGTCCTGGCTGAGGATGGCCACCTGTCTCTGATCGTGGTCAATGTTGTTCTGGCCCAGCAGCTCCATAATCTTGCCGCAGACTGATGACTGCCCAGAAGATTGTGGGAGAAGATTGTGGGTATGAGGAGAGGGGGGTTCAGTAGCTAATCATGACATAAAACAGGGTTCCCCAATTTCAATCCTGGAGGGCCAAAATCTGACACAGTTTGCAGATTTTCCTGCTCAAACACACATACTAAACCTGGAAATTAGCTTGTTAAAGGTGTAAATTTGCAAACTGTGTATTCTCGTGGTATACGAGAATCTGGAAGACGTGCGTGCATAGAGCCTACACTGAAATAACATCCATCCATTTTCTGAAACCGATTATCCTGTCCAGGATCGCGGGGGGTCTGAAGCCCATCCCGGAGGCTACAGACGCAAGGCAGGGAACAACCCAGGATGGGGCACCAACCCATGTCAGGGCACACTCACACACCATTCACTCACACATACACACCTAAGATAACTCCAATTAGCCTCAGCATGCTTTCGGACTGTGGGAGAAACCGGAAAACCCAGAGGAAACCCCACGAAAACACAGAGAGAACATGCAAACTCCACACACAAGTAATCCTGGCGGAAACTCAATCCCCGATCCCAGAAGTGTGAGGCAAAAGTGCTAACCACTGTACCACCGTACTGAAATAACAGAATTGCTAAAATTTTAAACAAGCCAAATTTAATTAACAGGCATTCTAAGCCTTTAACTACCAAGGATGAGTCGATTTCTTGTAAAAAGTTGTTGCACTATGCATTTCTTTGTGCAAAGTGCACTTATATGTTTTTAAAACAACAAACATGAAAAAACATACAGAATGAAAGAACTGACTTGTTCCTTTGCTGCATTTTTGCATTGCAGTGCTCTTACCATAGGTTACATTAACATTATATCAACAACAGATGTAGAAAAATGTTTATACGATAAAACATTCAGCTGGTGTTAAATGGTACTTCCTGAAAATTTGAGTAAATAAAATATTATATTGATGCAAAGGTTCAAAATACTGATGAAAAAATGTGGCAAACTGAATCGTCATAAAGTTAATTGCAATATTGATACAGCTCAATATTGCAGTACATACATACTTAGAAAGTGAAGGCTGCATTTCCCTAAACAGAACTGAATATTTGGCAGCTGCAATTGACTACTAATACAAGACAGGTCACAAAATTCCTCAAACATGTTTCCTCAGGTTAAATACAAGTGCACTCAAGTTTTGATAACAATCATAGCATTTTTTGATAACTAACACTTCGTCCATTATAGCTGAGAGAGGAGTGAAGGCCATGAATGTTTAACTGCTCAGAGAGATAAGACTGATACAGCATTGTGGTCATGATGACTCAAATTAAAAAAAAGATCTCAAACAATGTAAATAAATAAGAGAAAGTAATATTTCAGTCTGTCTTGTGTGTAAATTGCAGGGATGTTAACTACAATGACACAGCTCCTAAGACTCGTAAAGTGGATCTTTGAATATTACACACAGTAGCAAATCTCCTTCTCTGATGAGATGCTACATACAGAGGAAAAGCTGGACATTCCAGACCCCCTGAGAAAATGTCACCTTGGGGGCCCTGCTCGGGTTGTCACTTTCAATTGCTTAGTTAATTTTGCCGAGTGGGGGGGTATGGGGCCCCGACAATGTGCTGGGCCCCCAGAATCCATCATGGTATCCATGTCCCTCCAGCACCCTGACTACATACAAGCTGGTCCCTATAAGATCAGCTGGTATGGCACGTTCTGCATTGCACACAGACTCACTATAGCCATGTTCAGAACTCTTACAGCAGGAACACACAGACCAGCTTACTTCCAAAAATATGTGCACTGTGCCAGAGTGAAGTCAACATTATTTAGACATGTATGCCAGGTAAGTGGCAGGATAGTTAACATGACCAGACAGGCAAAGGCAGCTCTGCCTGAGTTGAAAGAAATGTCAGCCGTTTTCACTCAAACACCACTATACATCTGAAACCCTATATAGTGTTCCAAAGAAAATCCACTAATTAAAATCTTGTGGCTGGATCTGTAAAAGCTCTTACATGTCTAAAAAGATCAGAATACACTTCAGGACATTCAAAAATATTCTAACGACTTATCTGCAAATACTGAAGGAAAATCCGGAACTATGATATTAAATATTAAAAGACTTTTAAAAATATGACTAAACGCATTCTAACCAGGCGTGAATGACTAAGCACACCTCTGTAGGTGAGAAACATGCGCGACCGCCTCCACTCCGGGGCTATGCGCGGCATCCAGCGCCCGGCTGACTGGCGTTTCTTTCCCATGCGCCGAAATCCCAAAAACAGCCCTTGACCAGGGAAGTCCAACCACTCATCAAAGCCAGTACAGCGACATCACGCTGCCACTTGTTACATCTCCATCTCGGTCTATTTTTACCGATACGCTATTCCCATCAGCCTGCTGATTTTGAACCAGTGTCGAATCAAACAAATATCCACTAATCAATAACTTAAGCTGAAAGTTCTCCCGGAAAATTAGATGCCCAGCGTCACACTTTGAAAGAGAAAGACTATTTTTAGACTTCTCGAATACTTATTCACGATTCAGTTTCCCGAACTTAAGCTTGACAAAAGACCACGTGGCAAAAATCTAATTTTAATTTAGCTCAATCCCCAGATTTAACGTGCCTACGCCAGCTTTTTTGTGATGTACCCCCCTATGAAAATTAAATCGAGCATAAACAATGGTACAGCAGTATTAGACACAATTACGACACTTCAAGAGAGTCCTAGCTGTAGATGATGGTGTGAAACCGTTTAATTGTTTTGGTTACCTAAGTTGTTTAAATCTCAATTTATGGAGGTGACGCAAGACGTATTATAGTCTTAAAATAGTAGTTGGAAACATAGCTCTCAGCTCGTTCCGAAAACTATTAAAAACGCTACTCAAAAAGAAACGTTACATTTATATTTCTTGTGATATGGCTATATCTTATACGCACCGGTCATAAAGAATGAAGCAGCAAACAAGACGCGCGCGACATTGTAAAGCGAGCCACGCGGTCAGGGAGAGTCATCTTCAATGAGGCGATTTCCTCCCAAGAAAGATCTCAAACAAACACCGTCTATATTCAACAAATCGCTAACCAGATCCGAGGAAGAGGAAGCCGACCTTGCCGCTGGCTGTGCCTCCGGCTACCCCGATGAGAAAAGGCTGCCAGTTCGCACGCCGGCCGCGTGCCGGAGCCTCCAGGCGCGTCCCCGCGTCGCCAGCCATGCCGGTCGCTGTGATTTTACCCGCCTCTCACCCACACTGTGCGCTGCGGGTTTCACCGCTGCCGCTTTCAACACGTGAATGAACTTCCTGTCGTCACCTCAGCACAGCACATTCCATTTTAAAAATATGGTATAACTGAAACGAAGCTGCAACTTCACGATCTGATCAAATTATTTAAAATGCCCCCCGAAAAACACTTCATTTGAGCCTTTTTTTGTGCTCAATGTCTATACTTACCAAATCAAACGTTATACCCAATTGTGCATACAAACGTGATAAGAGGAAACGCGATATTTCTCTTATTTTATATGACTTTTATGAAGTCCATAAAATAATAATTATCATCAATAATTATCCGACTACAGTAACATAAAACATGTTCTGAATTAGAATTAGTGAATGATTAATGACAAATGATAACGATTTAGGATGCTTGAACTGCGATGTTTGGGTACCGACGGGCTATTCGACGGTTAAATAAACTTAAATTATATTTTTTCAACTTGCAAGCTGCCCCTAACAGAGGCGTAGGTTAGTACTCGGAGGACTTTCCGGAGCGCTAGGCATCCCACAATCCACCGCGCTCATCGGCTCTATCACGTGACCAAGACTTACTCATGTCCTTTGAACAGTTTGTGGTGACAGTGAGGATAGGCGCTGGTCGGTAGTTTTTTTTAATTTTATTTATTTAGTTTGATTTAATTTTTAATATTAGTGCCTCCCTCCTCCCAGGAGCTATAAAGATCCCGAAGATGAGCACTATGTTCGCAGACACCATCCTGATCGTGTTCATATCCGTGTGCACGGCTCTGCTAGCCGAAGGTAGGCTAACGGGTGTGTTATCTGGCAGAGAAGCCCACCGGCGCCGGTCAGCGGGGCACAGCGGGGTTGAATATGGACTGCAAGGTTCGGCCTGTAGCTGGGATTGGCTCAAGGTCGGCCCAGCTGTATAGCTTGGCTTTGCTGTTCAGCTTAATTGTTTGGGATATTTACGGAGGTTTCTTGTATGATGACTTTGAAGGGCAGTTCACAGACACGTAAGTAATTTCGTGGTTTTGAAAGTACAAACTTGATTTGATGAAATAGCGTTTTGAATATTGATATTGCCTTTGTGAGCATTTTTTCAAACGTATTTACCTGTAGCTTATTTAAAAAAAAATCTTACCTCCATTTTATGCACATATACAGATACGTGAAATTACATAGAAATGGTCTATATCGGTGCGGATGGTCTCATTACTTTCCTATATAGGGAAACTTAAGTTATCGTTGTTTAAGTAGTTGAATGAAGCTGAAACTACAAGATTTGTGTAGTGTCTTACCCTTTAAGTGTATCCCATCAAATGTAACATTTAATCCATGTTAAGCCATCGCTGCTTTTAAGGGCACCTGTTATCGTATGTGGGTATCCGCCTCCATGCAGGTGTCTTATAGATAAGGCTGCCCGATATATATATTGTTTCATTAAAAAATATATAGTCATTTTCTCTCAGTGACAAATAGACTCATCGAAGCTTAGGCCATGGGAATGAAAGTTATAGATTTGCGTCCAGGCAATCCAAAAATATTCATTATTTCAGAGTTTTCATTATTTTACTTAGAATTTAGATTTTACCTCGAGTTTTGCCCCCTTGTGTACTGATATCATAAAGTCTTATGTAAAATAGAAAAAAATAAAGAACTATGAACCACAGATATTCAATTAAAGTATTATTTATTTGGTCTCTTGAATAAACATTGGCACTTAAGCCCTCTTCCTAACGTAAGGTAGGCCTAGGGCACTGCATCCATCGCAAAGAGGGACATTTTCCCCTGTCGCCTCTCCACCGCAATAGTAACAGACAGCTTCAGTTCCAATAGCATAGTATATGCCGTGTATTGGCGACAACATCGCAGCGCAGACAGCAGGGCGTGATCGTTTGGTCAGAGCGCGCGCTTCTCAGAGCAACACTTAAGCCTACATCAGCGACAAGAGTGAGTAGACATGTCGTGAAAAACTAGCGCTTTGAGACAATGTAACGATGTGAAAATGCGTTGTGTAAATAAAACTTAATTGAATATTTGTGTACAGTACTGTATTTGGCATTTTTTAATTATACACAGTGCAATAATTTAATTCGTACAATACTTTTAAAAGCGTTTGAAACAGCTGTGCTGTATTTTGAAATAGTCAATAAAATTAAGTAAATAGCGACGCTGTCCGTTTTATTACCTTATATTCATTTAATACATATACAAATGTCAATTAAATGGTAATCTGCCTGAGACATAAAGAATGTCATCCAGACAGATGTAATCACTATTTGCAGCTTCCACTGCATCTGTATTCAGTCCACATTTCCATTTTGCAAGGTAGTATTTAGAATGGTTACTTAAAAAAATATAATACTTTTAGAATACATCAGCTCCGACATGAAAATAATAAATATATATATATGCCTGTTTTTTTTTGCCCTATAGAGGGCAGTAGTAAGCTGTAGACCAGCACGCTGAGCATCACGCGCAACCATGACCGGCTGGTGCATTCGCGTCATGGTAATATAAGCATAATTTGTCCAACTTTCAAACAAAAACATGGAAATAATTTACTGTGGAATAGGTTTGAATGATTGTTTAAACACAGACTTCATCAACTGTTCAAATCTGTCATTATGTGACTTAAATTTATTTTATAATGTAAAAAAAAAGCTTGTTTAAAACAAGAACGTGTTTCATATGTTTCTAGTTTATTCATATTGATTCTGATATGCAAAAAGTTCTTTTGAAAAAAAAATTCACCACCCAGAAATACTGCAAAAAGAAAATACACAGCTGTTTTACACATGCCTTTCAAAAAATGTATTCTGAATACATTACTACTTATGTAATGTAACGAAATATTGAATACATTTATGGCAATGTATTCATATTCAGCCGTCAGTATTTTTTCAAAGTAGTATATACAGTAACATCTCTACATCAGCTGTTGAGTAGAGTGCAATCAAATCAGTAATTCAGTCTAACAATACATTTTTTTTTTTTTTTTTACAACTACCTAATATGGTTGTGTATTTATTACATATGACAATGGTAGCACTGTCATGCATTCCAAATATCTTACTATATCTGTTGCATCAAAGTCAGGAGTGCCCCTAACTCTTCCTTTGTGCATGGGGCCGGCCCGTCAGCGTTTGTTTACGCAAGTGAGCAGCTGAAAACTGTGTGCGCATGTTCAACGCTCTTTCAGTAATGAGCTGTGGGGCTTGAGCAGGATGTTCCCTACGTATTGATGCATATTGTGATGCCCAAAAGTTAGTAATATGTATACATTTGGCGTATCCTCATGCTTAATAAGTTTGGTTAGAGGAGCACGCCACAAGCGGTTCGCCCTGAAGTCGCAATGAAGGAAGGGACAGCAGTCACATCTTTTAAAAGAGGAGATACTGTGGTTGCCTTTGGCTTACTCAATGGGGGGTCCTTACGAGGCAGAAATGTAAAGCGCATTGAGACAATGTAATGTTGTGATAATGCGCTATATAAATAAAATTGAATTGAATTGAGTTAAACAAGGTAAAAAGATGGTGGTGGTGTGGCGGTACTTTTTGGCACGTTTTTTTTTCGTAAATGTTTTTCATTTTTCAATTCACAAGTTTCCTTTTATTTAGAGTCCGTTTACGTTTCAGTTTTAGCTTGCGATAACGACACTGGTCACAACCATTCCAACGTGCACAAACACACACGCTGGTACCGTCAGTCCACGTAGAATAAGCCCAGACTTTTGCCTAAACATTTTCACAAACACATTCAATGGAGATTCTAATGTATCAGGCAGACAACTTTACGGCTTTAATAATAAGGGTATTTAGCAGCTACAAGGACAAAAGATATTAAAAGCACTCTGTAGTAATGGTAATTTTAATAAACATGAAAAGACAGCACTTAGGGTGGTTTTGCCTACTCTGGCAGTCCATCGGCCACAATAGCGCCTGTACCTTTCCTTTTCAGGTGCTCGTGCATAGCGCTATGGTACGCTATGGTATGCCATCGCACTTTGCGCAGTGTAAAACTTTTTTGTGATATTTTGAAGTACTTCCATAATTACATTGTATATTAAAGGAAAACATTTCTTATGATTTGAAACATTTTAGAAATCATAAAAGTAATTTTATTAACATAAAAAAGATGCGACAATTAAAAATATTGATGTCGACGCATTTTCAGTATCGACGTTTTCGATTAATCACGGCGACCCAAAATGTGACGTTTATGTTTTGCTGTGTGGGGCTTTGTATGTTTTGTTGCTCTGGTGCCTGATGACCAGCTGCCGTGGTGTGTCTGAGATGGGTTACATTTGCCTTACTAGCCAGCATGCATTGAGCATCTAATGTTACTTGACGTCAGCTTCATCTTGCTTATATGTGGAAGATTGTTTTGGCTGAATTTCAGGGTGTTAATTTTTCATTTATTTTAAGTCCAAAGTAGCCTCTGATTATTTAAATCGTGCCTGAGATCCATGCTGAGTTTTGAGCTGTTTAAAAGATGATGTCTTAAAGCAGGTAAAAGGTAGGCGGAGATCGGTTTCTGGATGGATCGATGAAACTCCTTGGTTTAAAACCATGAATGATATTAAAACAGTGAAATGTACTTTTATTGATGTTAAATATGTAGAGTTGACAAGAAATAGGAGCTATCTTTTTATAGACTGCCGAAAACCAAACGTATCGGACGTGAATCGGTCACATGGCCAATATCTGATCCATCTGATTAGATCGGTTCACCTCTAATCATAATCTATAATAGTGACTTTGAAAACAATGTTGCTCTGCAGTTTGCAGCTCAAGCATGTAAATTTTATATACAATATGTATGAGGAAAATAAAGAAACATTAAATCTGTCCTTTTTTCTCTAACAAAAATACTGATTGAATCTTTCACAGCTTAAAAATGGTGTTTCCGGTGAATTACGATGACATGTAGCTTCAGATACTGCCCACAGATGGCGCTGTCCCTCCAGAAATGTTGAATGTACTGCGGTGTTGAGTTTCGACAGCTGTCACTGTGTCGGTGATATGAAACTGGATTGTCTAAAACAGATGTGTTGACTAGTTCCTGAAGCTGAGATGTTATCTTGCCTTGAGTGTATATGTGGTACTGTATACTTATCTTCCTTCCTAGAAATGAAATGCTATGTTTCTCTTCCTTTATTTCCCTCTTTCTATCAGAGAAATCTCCTCAATGTTAACTGAGGCTGTATTAAATTTTAGGTGAAAAATTTGATGCTGAGGTTAGATTAGCTTCTGGTGTTATTGTTAGACATTTAAATAACATAATAACGTAGTGACTGATCTTGTAGTGCAAACTATTTATTGCCACAAAAAACTAAGTGAATGTGTTCTCCTTGGCAGTTCTCAGATGTTTCTAATATTATTTTCATTATCATTCTCAATTTTCTACAATGTGCTGCTGCTAATTTTTCTTGTTAAATAATGTGACTAGGGCTGCCACCAATTACTATTTTTCAGTAGATTAATCTATCGACTATTTTATGAATTGGTCGATTAATCTAAACAATTTTCCTTCAGAAAGTCAACTTGACCATTTAAATTTTATTTTGACATCTACTGTATACCATTGCAGGGCTTTTGATGAAATACGGTGGCATTTCGACACTATACAAACATTAGTTTCACCCACAATTCGATAATCAGATTAGTAGTATGCCTAAAAATATTAATGAGATGTGTATTGTGACGACCAAAAGTTAGTAATCTGTATAAATTCGGCATATTCTCCTGCTTAGTGGAGCACGCCACATGCAATACAAGCCATAACTTAAGTAATGAGTAGTCGCGATGAAGGAAGGGACTGATCAGCAGCCACAATGTCTTTTAAAAGAGGAGATACTGTGGTTAAACAAGGTAAAACGATGTTGGTGGTGTGGCGGTACTTTTTGAGGTTTAGAGTCCGATATTAAAAAGCTTTCTTCTAATGCTAATTTTAATAAAGATGAATAGACAGCACTTAGGGTGGTTTTGCCTACTCTGGCTGCCCTTCGCCCAGAGTAGCAGCTGTGTTTCCTCTTCAGGTGTGCGAATGCCACTATGGTATGCCGTCGCACTTCGCTCAATGTAAAACCACCTTTTTGTTTTGTGGTAACATAATAGCAGAAACCGCGACCCACTGCTTAGTTTGCATGTTCACCCTGGTGTACGTGGTTTTACTGCGGATCCTCCAGTTTTATGCCACTGTCCAAAGCCATGCAACCGATTATTGATATAACCAATAGTGAGAGTTCTAGGGCATTTTGAGTAATTTCACCTCCTTTTCTTGTTTTAGAAATATCGTAATATTACTCGTGGAAATTTCATGTGCTGCATATGACCTGGCCAAAAAAATTACAATAATGGTTGCTTTCCTGATTGCAGTACAGTCATGTGATTTGGCTTTTCTTTTTTTAGTTAACTGGCCTTTTACCTCCCTCCTCTCTCTTAGGTATCACATGGGTGCTTGTCTACAGAACGGATAAGTACAAAAGACTAAAGGCAGAGGTGGAGAAGCAGAGTAAAAAGTGTGCGTACCTTTTATTTTTACACTGTGCTACGCCAAGGTATCGTATGTCTGATTAACGGATTGCTTGCAAATACCTTTCAGTGGAGAAAAAAAAGGAAACGATCACAGAGTCTGCTGGACGTCAGCAGAAGAAGAAAATTGGTAGGTTTCCCTCTGCTTATCCAAGGTTGCTGTAATGAATGAAAGGTAGCTGGAATTGGCAGGCTTGCAGTAAGACGACTACACGTAAAACAGCAGCTGGTCACAGTGATTAGGCTGCAGAGTATAAAAGATGTTGATGTCTGATTGTTTCTTTCACAGAGAGACAGGAGGAAAAGCTGAAGAACAATAACAGGGATTTATCCATGGTAAGGAGAGTTTTTCCCAAACCTTTTATTTTTATCTTGTATATATTTCTATATATGTATGCATATATATAAATACACACACATACATGTACACTGCTCAAAAAAATTTAAGGAACACTTTTTGAAAACGCATCAGATCTCAATGGGAAGAAATATCATGCTGGATATCTACACTGATATGGACTGGGTAATGTGTTAGGAACTAAAGGATGCCACATCGTTTGGAAATGAAGATTATCAACCTACAGAAGACTGAATAAAAAAAAAACCCTCTAAATCAAAGTGGAATAATGATGCAGCAGGCTACTCCGTTTTGCCAAAATTTCATCGCAGCAACTCAAAATCATACCCAGTAGTTTGTATGGCCCCCACGTGCTTGTATGCATGCCTGACAACATTGGGGCTGCTCCTAATGAGACGACGGATGGTGTCCTGGAGGATCTCCTCCCAGATCTGGACCAGGGCATTAATGAGCTCCTGGACAGTCTGAGGTGCAACCTGGAAGCGTCAGATGAACTGAAACATAATGTCCCAGAGGTGTTCTATTGGATTTAGGTCAGGCGAGCATGGGGGTCAGTCAATGGTATCAATTCCTTCATCCTTCAGGAACTGCCTGCATACTCTCGCCACATGAGGCCGGGTATCGTCGTGCACCAGGAGGAACCCAGGACCCACTGCACCAGCTTAGGGTCTGACAATGGGTCCAAGGATTTCATCCCGATACCTAATGGCAGTCAAGGTCTCGTTGTCTAGCCTGTAGAGGTCTGTGTGTCCCTCCATGGATATGCCTCCCCAGATTATCACTGACCCCCCACCAAACTGCTGAACAATGTTAGAAGCAGCGTAGCGTTCTCTAGGGCTTCTCCAGACCCTTTCACTTCTGTCACATGTGCTCAGGGTGAACCTGCTCTCATATATATATGTGGAGGTAAAGAGCTTGCATTGATACAGTGCGTTGCTGCACCCATCACATGACAAACCACCTCTGGGATGAGAACCTGAGTGCAGCCATGTGGCAGGTGACACCTCAGCACCACACTAGTCCGAATGGACAGATCCCTAGCCTCAGAGCCACCACTCCACCACACTCACTCTCTATATATAAAAAAATAAATAAATCAAGTGGTGAATTAGATAAGTACATCACTTATGCCTACATACAAGGTGTAACTTGTATCTGTCATGGCCTGTTTACCTGGTGCTGACCTTGATCCACTTCCCTTTGAACCAAAGGTACGTATGAAGTCCATGTTCGCCATCGGCTTCTGCTTCACAGCCTTGATGGGGATGTTCAACTCCATGTGAGTATCGTTTTACTCCCTCATGTCTGGTAATTTCTATTTGTGCCTCAGTCTGTACTTCTGATCTGTGTTAATTTTGTGTTTAACGGAAGGACACGTAGAATAAGATTTTCATTGCATAGTGGATCTGATTGTTTACTGTGCATGTGCCAAACCCTGGCATCTAAAGATGGAAACTTATTGTAATGCTGTTTATAAAAACCAGATAGACGACAGTGTTATAAACAGAGCTACAATATGTAAGATCCGGCTCTCTGAAAAACACTGGGACACTTATTTGTACATTAACTGCTGAGCTTCTGTGACAGAGCACTGAGAATATTGCTTTTTGCCTGAAGGAATGCTTATAGGTAAATGTATCTTTCCATTTCCTTTTTCAGCTTTGATGGGAGGGTTGTGGCCAAGCTTCCATTCGTGCCCTTGTCATACATCCAGGGCCTGTCCCACCGCAACCTGCTGGGAGAGGATTACACAGACTGTTCTTTCATATTCCTGTATATCCTATGCACCATGTCCATCAGACAGGTACACCCGACAAACAGTCTCTTGGTAGTTGTAAATGATTAGTGATGCAGCGAAATCAATTTTTTATTTTATTTTTTTACCCCAACACTGGAACAGTGTTTTTTTTTTTCAGCTGAAAGCCAAAACAAAATGAACTTTGCGTAATTAATTAAGCATTTGTGCACCGATATTTGTTGAAATTAATGTATTCAGTTAATTTTGCAAATGGTTAATCTCTACAAATGGTGTCATTTTCAAGTTTTTCCTCCACCCCCATTGCAGAATATCCAGAAGATGCTGGGTCTGGCCCCATCTCGCGCAGCCACCAAACAGGCCGGCGGCTTCCTCGGCCCGCCGCCCCAGGCTGCCAAGTTTTCCTAAAGTCCTTTGGCAGCTTTTGGTCTCGTCGGCATGACAACGTCTGATGAATTGCCCGTTCACCCTTCCGGAATGTCCTTGCTGGAGGTGCAACAGTTACGATCACAAGCCACACCAGCTGTGTTTTAGTTTTAATTTGTGTAACTTATTCACAAGCACCAGTGTTCTTGCTCTCATATCAAGGCGGACTCATTTTTGTGTAATCATTGGACATGCTTTCTCAGAGGATGGAGATTTGAATAGAAAGCTCTCTGAAGCCAACATCTACTTATACAAACCTGTGCTGTAATTAGGTTAAAGGCACGTTATTGCTGGTAGATTTTTTTTGCAGGCTGAGTATCATCTGCACTGGAGAAAAGCCTAAGTATTTGTTGTGTGTTTTTAATCTTCTGGAATTCTACAGCCACGTATGGCAGCGCAGAAAGAAATGAATGAGAGCAATAATAAAAACAATCTGATCATTTTCTCAGTGTCACTGTGAAGCGGAAAGTAACGGGTCCCACGAGTTTGTGTACCTGGTTAACTCCTCCAAGATGAGTTGTCTGCTTTTCTCCTCGTGATTGAGCATCAGTGTTTTTCTTTTCTGCATTTCCTGCTTTGTTGTGCTTGGTTCTAGTCAGACAAAGGGAGCATTATTTAAATTTCTCAGTGTGATATGCTGGTAAGACAACTGCAGTAAACGAGACCATAAAACCAAGGGAGGGGAAGCATATTCGCTAAAGACACTCAGCTTGAAACACTGGGGCAACTATCGGAATAAATCATTTCCTTGGAAATAAATGTGGTATACTGAATATTCACTTGCGGTGCTAACAGTTGTTCCCCAAATGAGTAGGACATCTCGCATTATTCAACCAGGTACCAGTAGTGTTGTATCTCACCAGCAGGTTAGGGGGGCCCTCTTTGCACTGACAGTCCCCACTGTGTCCTGCAGCATGCTGGCTGTCACTGTCACCACCCTCTTTGGGGCTGTGTGGTTCAGACTGTAATTTAACAAACCTACAATCCAGAATGCATGAACAGAAAAAATTCAATACATACATTTTATATTTGCGTCTTTGCTATTATCCAGAAAGGTTTTCAAGAAATGCAACATTTTGGAACAAAAATAAGTTTACATTTATAATACATTTATCAATTAGAGTGTCTGGCAGAGGTAGTGACAGATATGAGCCTTGAGTGTTGATTGTAAAGATGGACCTGCTGAAATTCTATTGTTTATAAAACCCAATAAATTTGTGGATCTAACAGACATGAACACTTCAGGTGTGTGTTTTCCAAAGCCGCCTTAACGGTACGTCATAGCCTAACAGGGTGGAACTTTACGAATGTGACAAGCAGGATAACATTTCAAAAACTAAAAGAAAAAAGGCAGGAGTGATAGTTTATCTCAGTTTGCACAGTTGGAAAAAAAATGGCACTTCCTAAAAATGGTCTCAATTGCAGCCATTTTTGGAAAGCGAGAAAGTATACACTAACAAGGTGGAAGATGACTAGGGACACACAGTTAACAACGAAAATGGTAAAGTAACTACAGCTTCACCTGATTTGTATGTACGATTAGAGGCAATTTTGCTTAGTCTATAACATAATTAAAGAATAATTTGTTTTTGTCATACGCAGGTTGATAGCTGTTGTAGAAGTTGATTACTTTGGACTGATGATGTGATAAAACAATGCATATATCAATTAAAAGGTGAGTAAAATACAAAATAATATTTTTTTATTTCTATTATCTCTGCTTATATGATAAAGAAGACCTAAATATATTGTATAGGCTTTCCTGTAAGCCTCAGAATGGATGGCCAAGTGTTCTCAACGCGTAACTTTAAATAACCAAAGTCCAAGCGGCCTCTGTAGTCGGGTGATGTTACCGTTAATTCCATACCTTCGGTTGACAAAAAAGGACCTTTTGCTTTTACATACGACACTTGCGCTGTGTAATGTGCTGGCGGCGTGCTGTCTATGCCATGCTCTCTTACAGGTGCTACGGTAAGAACCGTGTTCCCTCCACCATCCACACCGTCCAATTGGAAAACACCTATTCATCTCCACCTGTCCTCACGTGGTCAGACCACTCCATGCAATACACAACCCAGTGGCCAAAATCCATAATACACCCCAAAGTTATAAATGGCTCCCACATATATAATTTACGACACTTGTTATAAATATGTGACACGTTTTAGAGAAAATATAAGTAAATCTTAGGGAAAGAAGTCATTATAACAAGAAGGAGCGATAATGGCGGGTTATGGCATTCCTCTCTAGCACAAATCATTCGCCATCTTCCTTACAGTACATGCAAAGTGCAGAGGCAATATTGTAACCAGAGGGAGTAAATATATATGGCTGTACACCTAATGTATGTCCACTGACTTCCCGTTAAGTATAGGATGGACTTGAAAATTCTTCCGCTTGCTTTTAAGGTTGTAAAGATTCAGGAGCCTGCTTATCTAACTGAACTTATCAAATTGTACAACACAGAATGCAGGCCTTCTTGCAATTACTCACATATTAAAAGACATTTACTTTGCAGACATAATGTGACATGTAAACGAAGCAACTAGATCATTTTTTTAAGTAGGCTATTACATGAAAACAACGGGCAACTTATAAAATATTAACGTTTGAATTTTATTTTTTACACTTTTTACATATTACCTCGTAATGGGCCTCATGCATGCTTTGTGGTGGTGTCAGGTTTCAGGGGCAACGCAGCTCCGCTGCTTGGGAGCGGCGCTTTTCGTACTCTGAAGTAATCTCTCTTCGCCTAGCATTTTCGGGGCTGTATCTGCACGGGTGCATACTGTGCCCGCCAGTGTTTGCAGCTTAGAACAACACAAGCCATAAGTTAATGTTTACCGAGGTCCCGCATTTACAGCACGCCACGCTATTCCTGCGGTCAGAGGCGCTGGGAGACATGCTGCAACACGCTTGCTTTCAAGGTTGCAATTATTCAGGACCCTGCTTTTCTAACTGAACTGATCAAATTGTACGACCCAGAATGCAGACCTTCTTGCAATTCCTTACATATGAAAAGACATTTATTTTGCAGACACAAAGTGGCGTGTAAACGAGGCAAATGGTACAAGGTATTGGAGCAAGGGCTATACGATATGGAGCCAGCAGGAGTATGGCTGGGTGTGCCTGAGCACCTGACATCCTGTCCGAATAATTGAAAGTGCCCCTCTTCTGTGGTCCCGAGTTAACAGCGTACGAGAGAGTTTTATATTGAGTGGACACAACATAATAGTTTTAATTCAAAAGTCTGTTTATTGGGAAAATGAATGAAGCCAAATGAAGCCTGAACCCCGTCACAAGTGCCTATTTTCGATCCCTGACGATCACACAAGATTTACCGAGGGTTACCCGAGGACCCCATGCAAGATTTACCAAGGGGAACACGGGGACCCCACGCAAGATTTACCGAGGGGGACACGGGGACCCCCCCCCGCCCCTCGCCCCTCGCCCCTGAACACCCTGTTCAGCCGAGCATCCGCTTATCAAAAAGTCTCTGCATATCCTTCACACAATATACCAAGCACCTTTGTAACCCTGTTAGTAATCTGAATTCGTAATTTAATTAATCGGCCAATCGATGGATAAAGTGCTTCAATCATTGATGAAGTTATCTGAAGGAAACGTGATACCAAATATGGACACGAGATGGGACAGGAATTTCGAACTGACAAGCAAGACTCAAGCATGTCTGTTAAGAAAAAATCTTAATATTTTGTCACACTTAAAATAACACATGCTGATACTGTATTACTCAAGACCTGCAAGTAATATGATGAATAAGCGAAAACAGTGAATTGCACTTAAAGTTGCACAATATTAGACAAAAACTTTGCGAAATAGGGGCTAGCAAAAAGTATTGCGTTTCCTGAAAAACGTAAACGCCTCGCACATTAATATTACTGTGCAAACTAGTAAAACATATTTTAAAATGTGGACTGATTCTCAAGACACGTATCTCCTTCGATGCAGCTTGGAATAAAACCGTTATAAGAATAACAACAACAAATTGTCAATACATGAGACGCCTCACTTGAGGAAATGATTTTCACACAAGCCCTACCTACGGCGTTTTACGAGGCACAAAGAGTGAGTTTCCACGTAGTTAAATTCGAACTTGGGACGCGATCGTTGAGTGTTTATTCCAGAGGACTGTGGTAGGTACTTTGGACAGTCATGCTTAGATACCCGATTATTTGGCTTTGTTCCAAGAAACGTATTTGCCTGTCTGCAGAAGAGAAAAATGGCTGCGGACTGCTTATTCTTGCACTGAAAGCTAAATAAAATCTTGTTTTAAATTGCTGGAATGTTAACTGCTTGTGTATTGTGAGTCGCAATGACGTCCGAACTATTAAGCTTGACTTTCTGGGTTTAGAAAAAAACGCTTGAACCATAGTAACTTCTGCAAAAATATTGACTTAAACCTGGTAAAGACTGTACATTTACACGTTTGCAGTGTCGTGTATTAGCGCAGTTATGGAGCAGCGCGTTTAGCAGTTTTGCTGGAAATTAGGAAATTCGGAATATGTGAAATTTCATTTAAATCACAATATTTTGTGTCGAGCACGGTAAAGCATTCTTTACCCGACTTATTTCATGCTGACACATTTATGCAATTATCTAGTTCACTGGATGGAGAAGAGTGGTAAATATAATATTGTGTTTAAGAAGTCTGTTGTTGCAATGGCCTGAACAAGCCGCTGCCTTGACCAGGTGCCTTGCCCGGAAGCCGACGCTTGTGAAAATGGCCCAGCTGCTTCGCTCTCCCCTGCTCTCCTCTGCCGCCATCCGCAGCGCCTCTACTGGGACGCTGGAGGTGAAGGAGCCGCTGAACTTCTGGGGCGGCGGCCGCGTGAAGCCGCTGAGTTCCAGCAACGCGGAGCCCGTGTACGAGCCCGCGACCGGTGCGTGTTTCCCTGGTTTATTAGTGTCTGTGTCCCGAGAGTCTTGTTGGGATTCCTTAATAAATAACATTGCATTACACGAGTTGTATGCAACAGATCTCATTGTCGAATTATTGTCAAGTTTTCCATACGAGTTTAAGACGTTACTCCAAACTTAAAATTCGCAGATAGTGGCCATTTCCGTGGCCTTATCTTTCCGTTAACAAGATTGCGAATTCTCCGTGCGCCTGCATGATTCGATTTATTTTTTTTTACTAGCTGGAATGCTAATTTCAGATACATATAATTCTATTTGGACTAGTACGAATCATCATTTTCACTAGTAAGAAATGTATTTTTACTAGTAAAAAATATTATACAGCTCTATTCCCTTTGACTTAGGTTGTATTTTTACCTCGCGTACATATTCTAAATTAAATTTTTGCTAGTCTAAAGTCATTGTAGACATCTATGATTACATTTTTACTGGTAAGAATTCCTATTGTATATATGGAATTACATTTTGACTAGTAAGAATTGCAGGTCCACATATCCATAATTGAATTTTAATAGTAGTAATTTCATTACGGATCTATACAATTACACGGTACAGATCTGGAATTCACATTTTTCATCATCGTTACATGACGATCATTTTACTGTTTTATTCTCTCTTGGCCATGCGGGGTCCTAAAAGTGGTGAGGCTTGAGACTGGCGAATTGGTCTGCAAGTGCCATCTGCAGCCAGATATGGAGGACTAGACATGACATAATTATAAATAAATAAATGTGTGAATAAATAAGTAAATACTGAAATAAATACAGTTTGGCCATGAAAACTGCTAAATGGATTCCTATATTTGTTTATTAACGTATTGAAATATTTATGAATTTCCACATTTCGTCATTTATTTATTACTGTATTTCCACATTTCTACATTCATTTATTTCTGCATTTCTGTCTCTGTATGTTAATAAGGTGGGCGGTCCCAAAAGCATGATTGGTTAAAAGTTGAGCTTCAATTAGTAATGCCTCGACTTTTAACCAATCATGCTTTTGGGACCGCCCACCTTATTAACATACAGAGACAGAAATGCAGAAATAAAAAAATGACGAAATGTGGAAATTCATAAATATTTCAATACGTTAATAAACAAATATAGGAATCCATTTAGCAGTTTTCATGGCCAAACTGTATTTATTTATTTCAGTATTTACTTATTTATTCACACATTTATTTATAATTGTCATGTCTAGTCCTCCATAGCCAGACACTGTTCTACTCAGGCACCAATCGCAACTGTCTGCTGATGACAAAATTTACGTGAACTCGCCCTGTGCGTGACCTGTGCACACGCTGAAAAGTGTGATTTGGCCTTTATGGCACTTACCTCTTATCACGTTTATCGCCCTACATGACAGATCCTTTTATCTATTTAGTTAAAGACTAACGGGAGGAGTTTTCTCTCCTCACCTCCAACTTAGAGACCTGCGCGGGACGGATTTTTCAGTCCCGCTCCCGCAAAAAATATGTCATTTTTTTCCCGCTCCCGCCCGCAGTATTCAAGTTTTGTTCCGCTCCCGCCCGCAAAATCCCGCAGGTAAACATATAAGTAGTTTTATTTTTACCGCTTCTTCCCGCTACTCTGTTATTTGTTTCACTTGCTTCCCTTTTGAGTATATATAAAAAAGAAACGAAAAATAAACAAATATGTTTCGTTTTATTTTAGTTTAATTAAATGGAATGATGAACTTGGACATGAACGAGGAGCTTTTCAGAACATGCCATCCCGTCCAAGCACCAGGCTGATTCCTTCTTGGGGTGTCCGGTTACGTTCCCCGGCACTCAGAGCGCGGCAATTGTAGTTTCTGTAGACGATTCGCCTGTAAATTGTTATTATTTTAATTTAGTCGTTCTTATTGCTTTTGTGCAGTAGATAAATGAGTAGGCCTAATTGTTTTGAATAAATTAATTTTAAGATCATTTTGCGGGAGTCCCGCGATTAATTCTATTCTCCCGCAATCCGCACATACATGAGGACCTTACCGCCCGCACCCGCATTCACCCATCAAATCTTGTCCCGCGCCGCGGGAGTGCAGGTCTCTACCTCCAACACAATTGACACATTTTTTTTTTTTTTTTTTTTTAAGTGAACCGATTGGAGAGCACACAGATAACTCGTCTCTGTCTACAGGACATGTGCTGTGCCAGATGGTGCCTTGTGTTGATGAGGAAGTTGACCAGGCCATAAAAAGTGCCCATTCAGCTTACTTGAAGTGGAGTAAGATGTCTGGTATGGAAAGAGCCCGTGTGATGCTGGAGGCTGCTCGAATTATCAGGGTAAGAGGCCTGTGCCGCAGATGACATCTTTGTACATGCTGTTGCAGTTATCATTCCTGCCGTGTAACGGTGCAGGTATGTGCGAGATGTACAGCGCCAGTCAAAAGTTTGGATGCACCTACCCATCAAAATAAAGGTTGATTTGCACTATTCTTTACATTTTAGAATAAATACAAAGACATCAAAACTATATATATATAAAAAAAAACCTATATGGAAGTATGCACTGACCAAAAAAGTATTAAAGCAAAAAAAAATGCATTTGTTTGAGGGTGCAGCTCTGTGGGTTGGTACTCGGAAGGCTACCAGTTCAAATCCCTGGGTTGGCTGAGTGATGCCACCATTGGGCCCTCGAGTAAGGTCCTTAACCCCAATTGCTCCAGAGACTGGCTGACCCTACTGTCTCCTCCATGCCAGTTCCATGAGGTGGCCTCCTGGGATGCTTTTCCAGCTCTCCTGAAGGAGGTCTCACATATATGCTGAGCTCTCATTGGCTGCTTTTCCTTCACACTCTGATCAAACTACTCAAAACTATTTCTATGGCGTTTAGTTCAGGTGGCCAGATCATGCAACAGTATCACACTCCTTTGTAGGTGGCTTGGCGTGTCCAAACTTTCAACTGGCACTGTAGTACAACTCATTATAGGGTGCTTTTCCACCACACCAGGTACTGTAGTTTTGGTCTGTAATATATTAGTCATTTTTCGAATTCAGTACAAATTCCCCCGCCTCACGTTGTGATGTCATTCAGCACCAGTACCAGGTTTTTATACCAATGGAAACCAACACCTTGAACTACTGTACTTTTGGTACTTAAACCAGTTTTGCTGAAAATGTCAACTTCAATAGTTTCTGTGAAGTGTGGAGGGGCATCAGTTAGAGAACCCGAATGACTTGTCTGAAACGGTCAGGATTTTATATTAAAAGCTGTTTTACTGCCACCTACTGGCAGAAATGTTTCAGAATAACCCTATTAGATAACACCGTTTAAAAGCCATTACCCTTCCATCTGCCCCTGCAACACAAGTCCATAAAGATTATAGATTGTTAACTTGATAAGGTGCTGGTGTGTTTTTATGGATATATATTCATAAAAATCCTCCAAATCAGCGGTGGGGAACCTTTTTCATATCAAGGCCGATTTCAGTTTTTATAACATACTATTGAGCACATACAGCTCTGATCACACAACATTGATCTTTTCTTAAAGGGGCTTTTCCACTGCACCAGGTGCCTTACTTTTGGTACTTCAAGGTGTTGGTTTTCCACTGGCATAAAAACTGGTACCGGCACTGAATAACATCACAACTCAAGGCAGGGTATTTTGTACTGAATTTGAAAAATGGCTGTAGCATATTATAGGGCTGGCAGATGCGTGATGTTATTACCAGCATCATACACATGCAATTTTCACATAGCTAGTCATCAGGCTTTTTCTTACCTTCAGTTTGATGTGGACATTATAGCGCAGGAAGTTAGGGTTCGCAAAAACATTACTCTGTCATAAGAAAGAAAAACTCATCAAGTTTTGCAATTTTAATTATCATTCCTTTTCACGATTATCTAGTATATGTTTAAAAATCATTTTAAAGTTGACCTCTGCTGCTTTTGTATGAGCGCTGCGTGCGATCCTGGGACAATTTTAATCATTTTCATCTTTGCTGTTTAGATTACTCCTGGACGGGTTTGTAAGAAATAAAAAAAAAAAAACTCTTTTTGTTTGAGATGGGCGATCCACATTTTTTCAGTTCCAATCCGATTCTGATACACAACTGCCGATGCCGATACAGATTCCAATACAAGAGCTCTTTTTACTTTGTTATACTTTATATATTATTAAGGCATTTGCAGTTCAATATGAATATCTTCAAAGCAAGTATACACAAGTGGCGAATGCTTAAAATTTTTACAGTTTTTCTCCCATTGGCGTCAGTGCAGTTACACTTTTGTTGCGATTGCAGCCCCTCTTGTATCACAAGCTGCAGCGAGTTCGCCAAACAGTCCAATTAAGTTAGCGACTCCCAAATCATCCATTGCTTTGTTTTGTCTGGAAGTTGCGTGCGCTTTGTTAAATAGGATTGTCCATTAAACGCTACCTCACTTAAACGCTATTCCCACCTCAAAACTTTATTTTACATAGATTGCAAATCGCCGTGCTACTGGTTTCTGTTAAAAGCGTAAAATACTCCCAGATCGTGACGTCTTATCTTACGCTCCTCGTACTGCGAAGGGTATGCGCATGACGTCACAGCAGGCGGAAGTCACTGTACTCACACCCACTGAGTAGCCAAAATATTGTCAATATATTGTGACACTGTAAGCATGATCCCCTTATCGTGATACATTTTCTATCAGCAGATTTATCCCAAAACACTGCCGTGCTATTTTATGTTATTGTCTTTAATCACTTGGAAAAAAGTAATTGCTGTCTAGAGTTTTCTATTTTTGAGCTGCCTTTTTGTGTCCATGGATGCCTTGTGGGCTGGATCAAACCGTCTAGAGGCCGGACGTTCCCCACCCCTGCTCTAAACGGAGCTCTGTCACGCTCACATTGTGCCATTGATGTTCACAGGAACGGAGGGATGACATTGCCAAGGTGGAGGTGATCAACAACGGCAAGTCCATCACAGAGGCAAAGGTAGACATTGATGTTGCCTGGACGTGCATCGAGTACTATGCCGGCATAGCTGGGACCCTGGCAGGTGAGTGTAAACAACTGGCTGCTTTTGAGAAACAATCTGGGCTCGATTTCTAACCTACCTTTGTAGGGTTTGCATGTTAAAGGAAGAACATGCAACGTGGCGAACTGGTGCATCTAAATTACCTTTGTGTGTGTTTGCTTGCACGATTGTGATATGGATGATTTAATTTGAACAGACTGAAAAGGCATTGCTGTCATGATGTTTACTTACAGTATGAAAGATTTCAGAAGTTACTACCTGGCCTAAAGTGTAAAGGGGAAACTCCCATCCAGTTATTGAGTATGGCCACACCCATTACTAACGGGTACATAAAATCAAGCACACAGCAGTGCAAGCTCCATAGGCACACAGCGCTCACAGAAAGTCTTGGGGCACTTGCTTAATTCTGTAAAAATTTTGCTGATTTATTGGTTTTGTAAAAAAAAGTCCATTGACAAGCGAAGTTTATATCTGCAGACATTTTCTTTTTAAGTGTCATAATTTTCTGGACTGACTCGTTCAGTTCTATTCTTGCCGCTTTGCTATTAATTCCAGCTGTAGTCTTTAGCTCCCAAAGGGACCGTAAACACAAATGATTGGTGTTTTATGTTCTTACAAAGGTGTTACTAATTAAAAACAACCAATGAGCCTGCTTGACAATAAACTCAGAAGAGCTCTTTTAAAACTATAACTTGGTTTTCAATTTATCGCGACTTGAAATGTGAACTAAAGGTTGTTTCTAACATGACATATACTTTTTTGTTATTGAAATTTAGCATTTTTCAATCACTATGTTATCAATACAATTTTTACTGAATTCAGCAAGCGTCCCATGACTTTCTTTGAGCCCTGAACATTGGGTTGTACGGAGGTGCTCAGTGATTTTGAACAAGGTACCATCATAGGATGCAACACCATTGCAACAAATCAGTTTGTCCAGTTTCTGCTCCGTCGCACCTGACTCGGTTCTGTTACTGTAAAGTGAAGTCATCCACAGCTCCGCCATGAAGAGAGAGGCCACCTGAGCTAGCGGAGCTGGACCGCAGAGTGCTGAAGTATGTGGCCTGTAAAAATCACCTTTCCTTGGTTGAGTCACTGACCGCAGGGCTCCACACTGCCTGAGGAAATGCTGTCCACTGGGAGCTTTATGGACTGGGTTCTCACAGCAGAGCAGCTGTACACGCCCAGCATTACACAATAGCTAATGTGAAGCATGTAGCCAGTGTAAGTGTCTCATCTGGAGTGATGAGTCACACCCTGCTATCTGCCGCTCTGTCAGGTGTTGAGTGCGGCAGGGAGAAACCTGCCCGCCTGGGTATTTGGTGCCACCTGTGATATTCATAGTGGCTCGGGGATGTTTTTTTGGTTTGGTTTAGGCCTCTTATTCTGCCGATGGCTGGCAGAAGTCACGGTATTGAACCAGCATCATGATTCCACCCCCCCCCCTCCCCCATGACAATTCCAGTGTCTCTGAACTTGGTTGGCCTGCACAGAGCCCTGACCTCAATCTCATTGGATACTGTTGGGATGAGTCGTGAGCCAGGCCTTCTCACCTGACATCGGTGCCTGACCTCACTAATGTTCTTCTGGCTGAATGGGCTCAATCCTACAACCATGCTACAAAATCTAGTGGAGAACCTTCACAGAAGAGTGGAAGAGTGGAGGTCGTTATAGCAGCTAAGGGGGTACCAGTTTCATATTGGTGTGCATGGTTTTGTAATGTGATGTTCAGCAAATAGATTTTTGTGATGGTAAGGTGCCCACATTGGTACTGCTCATTGACTGATAGTTTTCATTACTTTTATTCATTATGATCTTCTCAGGCCAGCATGTCCAGCTTCCTGGGAGCTGCTTCGCGTACACCCGGCGTGAGCCCCTGGGAGTCTGCGTTGGTATCGGTGCCTGGAACTACCCCTTCCAGATCGCTGCCTGGAAGTCGGCCCCTGCCCTCGCCTGCGGTACTGGCCTTCCCGTGTTACACACGCGTGTACATGTGTCGCTATTGTGAGCGTTGAGACCGAAGGCGAAGAACGAATCGATAAAGTCATTTTAAATCGGGCAACATATAGAACAGCTATTATGGGGGCTTTTTAGGAGCAACATTGCTGGACCGTAGCCTACATGTCTGTCTTGAGGCCCACTTGATGGGCGGATGCGTCAGAAGTGTCACCCTGTTGGATTTCTATGCCTTCTGTGGCTGTAATCACATATTTATTCTGGTTATTGGCAGTAAACGCCTCTGTTTTTGGGCTCTCGGTTAACCGTGAACCGTGATCTTCCTGGTGCTCCCATCAGGTAATGCGATGGTGTTCAAGCCCTCGCCCATGACCCCGGTGACCGCTGTCATGTTGGCGGAGATCTACGCCGAGGCGGGAGTTCCGGAGGGGCTCTTCAACGTGGTTCAGGGAGGGGCAGAGACTGGCACCCTGCTCTGTCACCACCCCATGGTGGCCAAGGTCTCCTTCACTGGTAGCGTCCCCACAGGCAAGAAGGTACAAAAACCAAAGCGTCTGGTGACTGCTCTGTAAATGACCTTTAGCTGCCAAAGTTACGAAGAGGGCTATGGTAGGTAACATGCTGTAACATGGGAACCCCCATTTCTTCAGATCATGGAGATGTCGGCAAAGGGAGTGAAGCCGGTAACCCTCGAGCTGGGAGGGAAATCCCCACTGATCATCTTCCAGGATAGCGAGCTGGAGAATGCGGTGAAAGGGGCCCTTATGGCTAACTTCCTGACCCAGGGAGAGGTACGTCATTTTCCCAGTGCTTCTGTGATGTCTTGCAGGTTCAATGCCTTCCTCTGGGCTAGGCCAGCATGATACATCATTGCAGCATCGTCGTTGTGATATGCAGATGCACAATAATCACATTGCAGGAGATGCGATGTCAAGTAGGGCAAATCAAATGGGTCACTTTTTTTGCTATTTGATACAGAAGGAAATCACACATGCTTCTCTTTTTCCATGAGGACCGTGATAGCTGTTAGGACAATAATAAATTACGCTAAAACATTTTCATTCTGTCATAGGGAACAAAATGGAGCAAGTCCTGCTGCAGGCCTACCCTCTGGCCCCACTGCAGGCCTTCTTACTAGAAAGAAAGATCTGAGAAATTGTCTTTCTCCAGGTCTGCTGTAATGGGACCAGGGTCTTTGTCCAGAAGGACATCCTGCCGAAGTTCCTGGAGGAGGTGGTGAAGAGGACCAAAGCCATCCCCTTAGGGGATCCCCTTTTGGACGGAACGCGTATGGGAGCCCTCATCAGCCGGCCTCACCTGGACAGGGTGCTGGGCTTCATCAACCAGGCCAAGAAAGAGGTAGAGCAGAGGCTCTCGCTCCCAGACCATGATGACCCTGTGACCTTCAGGAGCAGATGAGTCCTTCCTGTAGCAATGCGTTTGGATAGCCACCATCTTGTGTGTGTGTGTGTGTGTGGGGAGGGAAAAACTGTTCATCCTTCTGCTTCCAGGGGGCCAGAGTGTTGTGTGGGGGGGAGCCCTACGTACCTGCCGATCCCAAACTCAAAGGAGGCTACTTTATGTCTCCATGTGTGTTGGGTAAGTCGTCCTTTAATTTTTCTGTCCTGTAGCCAGTTTAACGGACTTCCTGTGTATTTGTTTCAGTAAATATTCTGCATATATAACTGGACATAATCAATTACTTCAGAATTTATTTGTTAATTGGTGTGGTAAATCTTCTAACCATGTAAATAAAAAAGGTAGGGTTCCAGTGGTAATATACCATTAGAGTTTTTGGCTACATGTGGGGCGCCATGTGGCTCTTTAAGTAAACTGTGCCTGTGATTGGCTCCTGGTCTGCAGAGTGATGTCACCATTGGACCTTTAAGCAGGGCCCGCACTGGTCACATACGCTATATTGCCAAATGTATTGGGACACCCCTCCAAATCATTGAATTCAAGTGTTCCAATAACTTCCATAGCCACATGTGTATATAATCACGCAGGTAGGCATGCAGACTGCTTCTACAAACATTTGTGAAAGAATGGGTCACTCTCAGGAGCTCAGTGAATTCAAGCGTGGTACCGTGATAGGATGCCACCTGTGCAATAAGTCCATTCATGAAATTTCTTCACTACTAAATATTCCACGGTCAACTGTTAGTAGTATTATAACAAAGTGCAAGCAATAGAGACCAACAGCAACTCAGCCACAAAGTGGTAGGTCATGTAAAATCACAGAGCGGGGACTTGGCATGCTGAGGTGCACAGTGTGCAGAAGACACCAACTGTCTGCTACAGACCTCCAAACTTCATGTGGCCTTCAGATTAGCTCAAGATCAGTCATAGAGAACTTCATGGAATGGGTTTCCATGGCCGAGCAGCTGTATCCAAGCCTTACATCACCAAGTGCAATGCAAAGCGTTGGATGCAGTGGTGTAAAGCACACCGCCACTGGACTCTAGAGCAGTGGAGACGTGTTCTCTGGAGTGACGAATCATGCTTCTCTGTCTGGCAATCTGATGGACGAGTCTGGGCTTGGCAGTTGGCAGGAGAGCAGTACTTTCCTGACTGCATTGTGCCAAGTATAAAGTTTGGTGGACAGGGAATTATGGTTTGGGGTTGTTTTTCAGAGGTTGGGCTTGTCCCCTTAGTTCCAGTGAAAGGAACTGTTAATGCTGCAGCATTCAAAGCTGTTTTGGACAATCTCATGCTCCCAGTTTGAGGATGGCCCCTTCTAGTTCCAACATGACTGTGCACCAGTGCACTGCAAGGTCCATAAGGACATAGATGAGCTAGTCTGGTATGGAGAAACTTGACTGGCTTGCAGAGCCGTGACCTCAACCCGATAGAACACCTTTGGGATGAATTAGAACGGAGATAGCGAGCCAGGCCTTCTCGTCCAACATCATGCCTGACGTCACAAATGCCCTCCTGGAAGAATGGTCAAAAATTCCCATAAACACACTCCTATACCTTCTAGACAACCTTCCCAGAAGAGTTGAAGCTGTTATAGCTGCAAAGGGTGAGCCAACTCCATATTAAAGCCTATGTATTAATAATGGGATGTAAAAGTTCATGTGTATGTAAAGGCTGATGTCCCAATACTTCTGGCAATATAGTGTATGTTTTAAAGGTGAACTACATGTAATATTATTCCTTATTAACATCACTGTACTAACACTTGATATAAACATCACACCCTGAACCACGCCCACTTTCATCGATGCTATGAAGATGGCATGATTTTTTTTTTCTGTGCTGATATCAACACACCCTAAGAATAGGTTTTCTGAAGTACTTCATCAGTGTTCTGCCTTTGGTCCTGAACCCCAGATAACTGCAGGGATGACATGACATGTGTGAAGGAGGAGATCTTTGGGCCGGTGATGTCCGTGCTGCCCTTTGACACGGAGGAGGAGGTGCTGCAGAGAGCCAACAACACCACCTTCGGCCTGGCCGCTGGAGTCTTCACCCGGTACTTCCGTCTCAGTGCCCCGAGTGTCCAGTTAACCCTCTACTGCACAGCGTTTCCCTCAAGCAACAGAAAGTTTTTTTAAGTTCTTAGTTTCCTAATAGGGGCTTTTGAATTATTTCAACCAATAAAAATGCCTAGAAACATGTCCAGGAACGGTCCAGTGAGGTATAGGAATCACTGTTGGCGCTTTTCCACTGCCACCAGGAACCAACCCGTACCCGAGCTCTACCCGCTCTGACACAGCCCTGCTAAAGCATGACCAAACCGAGCTGGTTGTATCATCATCTGATTGATCAAAATACACGGAGATCCTGGTGTTCTGCACATGGATTATCTGAACTGAAAAAGTGTATATTCATTATTTGTAGTATTGCATATTGTCGATGCATTCACTTAAACTCATAACGCGGTGATTCTCACAGACGTGCTAGTGGAAATTAGCACACAGTAAAAAAAAAAAATTCATATAGTAAATCATGCACGTGAGTATTTAAACAGTAAATAAGTGTGTCTCTGGTTTCATTCCACTGTCTCTCTGAACTCGACAACGCCTTTACCGAGCCAACACTTTTGCAGTGGAAAACCAAAGCGAGCTGGAACCACACTGTAACTTTCTCTTGGGATACGGGACAGTTATGCCAGTGGAAATGCGCCATATGGTACAACATTCTGGTGTGGAAAATCCTCTCAGGACGCACTGCCTTGGGAGCACATGCTGTGACCAAGGAATGAGGTTAATTGATATAACTCATTTCGGGCGATAAAATGAATTGAGAGGTCACCCAAAAAACTCACACCCACGCTGACCCTCCATAGAACAGGTTCCCCACCCCTGCAGTAGAGGGTTACATTGGAGCAGCGTGAATCTCCAAAATGCATACGAAATATTACATGGATTTTCCGGAAACTTGCACTCACATGCCTCTGCATTTTGCTGACAGGGACATCGCACGAGCCCATCGTGTCGTGGAGAACCTGCAGGCAGGAACCTGTTTCATTAACAATTATAACATAAGTCCAGTGGAGGTTCCCTTCGGCGGCTATAAGATGTCAGGTACGTTTGTTAATCTTTTATTTCACTGCTAATCCACTAAGAAGGGAAAAAGTTTGAGGTGCTGTATAGTAACTTCCAGTTACTTTGAGGCAGGGTTCTTCAAATCTGGATCTCAATTCCAAATCCGGGCCATGTTTTCAGTTCTCCCAGGTAGTTAGTTTAATAATGCCTGATTCTCATTGGCCAGGGGCTTCACATCTGGCTCACAGGTAAAGGAAGGCTGGAGAACCAGTAGTGCTCGGACCTCGAGGACCGTGATTTGAATAGCCCGGCTTTAAGGGAAATGAAGACGATAAACAACCTGGTGATATTCTGACACTTCTATTCGCTTCTCACCTGGCAGGTTTTGGCCGTGAGAATGGTCAGGTGACCATTGAATACTACTCTCAATTGAAGACTGTGGTGGTCGAGATGGGAGATGTGGACAGCCTCTTCTAGGAGTCTATCTTGGTTCTTCTGTTGCAGCAGCAGAATCATGAAATAGTAGAGTACGCTTCCGTACCACCAGTATTTACCTAATGGTTGGGAGATATATAAATGATACAGAGGTTCTTGTCCTGTTTAATATGAAGGGAATTTATCCCAATGTGAAACTCTAATTTTTCTCTGCACAATATCATCTGCTGAATTTTACCTTGGCATCACGAAAGTACACTATTGCTAACAGCTCATAGATCTCCACTGTGAATTTCTTGCATGCCATTACATAATAAATATTTCTACTACTCATTGTATTTTTTTTTAGGTTTTGCGAGCTGTTACTTTAATAATTTAGAGAAACTTTCCATACATTAGACTGCTTATTCTGGATTAGACAAGGTGAAGAGAAACCCTGGATAGGATGCCAGCCTGTGTCAGGGCAAATGCAGACAATAAGGGGCATCAGTCCCCCTGGGAGGACGTCAAGGTAACTGGAAGAAGCTCACACATCTTGGAGAAAACGTGTAAACCCCATGCACAGCGAGTGCAGATGGGATTCAAACCCACAACTCCGCAGGTATAAAGTAACAGTACTGCACACCGGTCCACTGTACCAAACTCATTTTGAGAAACATACCTTTCTTTTGAATAAAAATGAGTGTAACGGCACAACTATTTAATCAGCTGTATTTAAATTAAAAAAAAAAAAAAAAAACGTTTCCTCCAGATGAGTAGATCTTGCATCTATAGTTGCGAAATGCTTATACCTGCATTCATTAATATACAATGCAGAGAAAATCTACACCCCTTTAATTTTTCAAACCAGCAACGCAAAAATCCTCCACCTCTATTTACATATTGCAGCACATGTCCCTCTTTGTGATGTGAACAAGCCAGCTCACCTCGAAAAGCAGAAAGTATGACATGCCTATTTTGTTTCCAGTTGTCACCTAGCAAATATGCTGCCCCCCCCCCCAAAAAAAAAAAAATTGTAGATGGTAGACAAGATGTAGCTGGAAAATTACAAATTTAATATAAACCTTATAAATCTTCGTTAAATACCAGTTGACAAAGTGCATCTCCCAGTACTTCATATATAAACAAAGTAAAAACTTACACAAAAGTACAATTTGGCATAACTGGGAGTAAAATCATGATGCGCACCCCCCCCCCCCCATGCCCATATAAGTACACTTTACTTAATTTACATTTACACTTTGATACTGTATGAAGGCAAGTGTCCCTTCACAATCAATAAATTACATCATCATTTAGTATGAATAAATACATACACCCCCCCCTGCCCCCCAGTACAGGGTCACTGACAGCCAGTAGTGTGACCCAGACAGTTTAAGGCACAAGGGACAGTGTGGCTTGGACAAGAAATCATAGGGAAATCATTAAAAAGATAAAAAATACATTAGGATGTGCAGCAAAAGCTTATTCAAAGGTTGAGCAGAATGAGATAAATACATATATACAAGAGCAGAGCCTTTGCTGAAGGGTCCTACAGTGATGTGACTGTCCTGCTGAGCCCAGGATTCAGAGCAGCGACCTTCCAATCACAGACACAGAGCTCTAACCCACTGAGCCACACACACCAGCCCCCATGAAGGCAGCAGCTTCTGAATGAGAAATTAACAGCATCCATTTCCAGGGTCAAACCAGGGCTTCACAGAACTGCTGTTTGGCGCAGGATCAGTCTCCTGAACCGGGAGATGCAGTAACTCTGGTGAGGAACAGCGGTGTGAATAAATCAGTGTCAACCACATACAGATCAAACTACTGCTGTGTGCTGTCAACTCTTTACGTATTATCCTTAATAAAAAATAATTTTCAGCAATATTATCTGCTCCATTCTTCATTCTCTTCGGATAAATACATCTTGTTTCTGTTACTGCATTCCGTTCGCCTGGCACGCATATAAGAGCAAGATGTTTTAAAAGTGCTTTAAAAGTATAATTTTACCGTCATTGTCACATTCTCCACTGTCGGGGGGCTGCCGGCATATACAGAGGATCCTGCATAATGCTGCCAGGAAAGACAAGATGAGCTCTTTCGGATTGTCTGTCAATGAAAGAACACGTCGAAATCAAATGCACGACAAACACTTATTTAACTATATGCAATCACATATAACGTCGTCGAGTGGGACATCCGGTATTCGCAATTATAATCCAGGCGGCGCTACTCCGCTATGGCGTACGACATGACATCAAAAGATCACGGACAGACACCGTGATTAAACGGTTCACCTGCTTTTGTTCGTGGATCCAACCCAAGAAGATTCGCTCACGAAAGTTTAGCGGCGATTAAGCCATCAGATTATTTCAAATACCCACGATTCTGAGCAGGCTAAGCAGTTGATAGACAAACCAGGGTTTCCAACTCGCACGCATCTGGCGTGACAATCGCGTTTTCAGGCTGTCACGCTTATGCAAGAAATCTTACGGCAAATCCATATTATTCCATTATAAACCTCAATTCAGCTACATAAAAGGCGATGGGCTACTTACAACGTAATGAAACTATTACAAGATTTTCTTGAGCTGAATATCTCACTCCAGCCAGCTGACAAAAGTTGGCGACACTGAAACAGACCGCGGATCGCAAATGATAGTATATTAACACGCCCGGACTTACTGTTATAAGATCCGCTCATGCTTGCGATTATCGTCCGAGTTTCCGACCAAGTTGATGGCTGGTCTCGTGAAGAAAACATCCAGTCGGGAACCCGAGAGCCGAATGGTGCTATAGACCCCGCCCACATTCCTGTGATTCGACATTCAGCCTCGCATGCCCCTCGTCCATTGGCTCCTCCTAACGAGTGACTGGTGATTGGTGAATCGCAGTAGGGGCGGGAAGTTGAAAGAAAAAGAATTTGCCAGAAAGAGGTCCTACGAACACTAGATTGTTGTGTGTTCTTTTATTTCACTGCTAATCCACTAACAGGGGAAACACTCGCCATGATGTGTGACAGAAGGGTGTCTGCAAGGGAAAGTCAAACCAGCTGTGATGTATGGTTTGATGATGGTGGCACTGAGACAGACAGGAAGCCGAGCTGCCGGTGGCAGAGCTGAAGAAGCTGCGATTTTTGTTGGGAGTGACTTTCTTTTTTGTATTTTTTATTTAAATATATACATGAGTAACAATACAGGTACAATATAAGTAAGTACAAGGAAATGCTACAAACGACAAGTATCAACAAGAAAAAAAAAAGTTTACAAGAAGCTTTCAACCAGGTCAAACTCAGTCAGGACTGACAAGGATTTTATGGCTTTTGAATGTTTACAAGGTACCAACGTATTTATATATGATATACAGGTTATACACGAAGTAGGTCTTAAAAGCTGTGAAGTTTGGTTTTTGTCTAGTAAATTTACAGGTGTGTATATGGAATTTTGAAAAAAGAATAAGCAGATTGATGACATAACTTTGCATTAGACTCAGGCAACTGTTTTTGGGGATTCCAAAAAAATATTTTCAATTTGAGTTTCGGGTATACAGTGTTGGGAGTGAGGTGTGGGCATGTGCGCAGCAGGCTATGAGGTCACTGGGGTCCGGACCTCATTTTTTTAGAGTTACAAAAGTTGAGTACAACTGGAAAAAAAAAAAAATCAGCGGCTGAGAACGTCTCATCCCAGACGAGGGCGTGCTTCATTAAGTTTAGACATTTTATTTAATGTCCGCCGAGTCGTGAAAGACGGCATACGCAAGCGCAGCCCGCAGCGTCAGCGCCTCCACTGGCAGCAACTGGAATTTACGCACGTTGACAGCAGCCCTGTAGCAAGCTTGTGTGCAAACTGGCAGGCAGCAAACCATTTGGTAAGACAAAGTAATGCTCGCTAGGCCATTATCTGTAAGAAACATTCAAAACAGTCACCTGGTACAGTGTCTGGCGTGGGGAGTACCCCAAGGGTGCTGCTAGAGATTTTAGGCCCCATAAAAGCATATCTTATTAGGCCCCCCAGTCCAGACCAATCCAGTTATTTTCCAAATTTTTAAGGCCCCTATCACTCGGGGGCCCTGGGAATAATCGTACTCACCCCCCACCTTACAGTGTCCCCTGGAGTACACACACACACACCACACAGAGTGTTCCAGTTCAACAGTTTAAAGTCACAGCAGGGAAGGTGTGACTGCACCTATAACCGCAGAATGTTTGTGTAATATGTATTATATGGTCTAAACCTATACCAACCTATCCCCCCCCCCCAGACGCCACTATGGCACAGAACCAATGTCCCTCTCACAGATTTAGTTGACATTGATCAGTTGATTCAGTGCAAGAGGCTGAAAGGGTTTGAATTAATCTAAACAGGAATGGGACAGCACATTGCAATGTATCACGTTACCATGACAATGCCAAAACAGGCTCCTTACTACTGTGTGTTCGGGACTTTTTACTTTAAGATTTGCACAGGCAAGACATTAAAGGAACTGACTGCCTAATTTGAACGCGTTTTAAGCTCTTGTCTTACAGCGTGGATGAGAGGTAATTGTGAAATAATCACTTTACTCCTTTTTGTCAAAACAGCGTCATTAAGCACTAACTAAAAGAAATGGATTGCTCACAGTTTATGTTTCAGACTCCCCTGGCAAAATTGTATATAAAGAGCTCAAAAAGTCTGCGAGAGAGCCCTTGTGCACTTGACAGTTTGATAGTGGGACAGCCCTAAGCCCTCAAGGACTTAGCGGGAACATGTCACAAAGTCTGTGGGTCTGAATGTGGACATTGGGATTGGGCCTATTTTTCAAACCCAGGCTACGACCTTGTGGTGATAGACAGGATTAGAAATTAGTATATAACAGGGAGAACACTAGGCCTGGGTAGCAAACTTTTTGATGCTTTTATGGCACCAACTGAATAGCTTAGATACAATCAAGTATCAAAAATGCCTTGTCATTTGGTACCATATTTTGATAAGTAAGGAGTAAATCTCATCAGTGTCAGTAAACCAAAAGGCATGCAACGTGCTTGTACTAAAATCTAATAATACTGGTGATTGGTAATGTTACACGAACAGGTCATAGAGGAATGCGTAAAAAAACACTGTTACCCCCGGAAACGGGGCTTACGTGTGTGCGTGCGATAGGACCTGCTGTCAGACACATGGCTCGGCCGAGAATGCGCTGATATTAGACGCGTATTTTGCCTGAAAATCGTACGTCGATTTTGCTCAGTATAATGCTTGTTTTGTCATGAACAGCAGGCCTGCTTTAGTGATAATTATTATGTGAATAATTTGGCAAACTCATAACCTAATATACAGTATGTCAGTTTTGAACATCTTGTAGGTTGTTTACGACCAGTAACTCCTTAATGGGCTCATAATCTACTCATCCTTTCAGGTGAAACCAAATCACATCAGACCGTATGCAGTGATTCTGCTTCATAAAGGAACAGTATCTCAATAAAATGAAACATACTATTTTTCAAACAACTTCTTTAGTATTAGTCCGGTTGAAGGCAAATGACATTAGCCTACATTTGAATATACACTCACCTAAAGGATTATTAGGAACACCATAGTAATACGGTGTTTGACCCCCTTTCACCTTCAGAACTGCCTTAATTCTACGTGGCATTGATTCAACAAGGTGCTGAAAGCATTCTTTAGAAATGTTGGCCCATATTGATAGGATA